TAAATTTGAGTTAACAGTTCGAGTCTGGTGACCCTTCCTCACAACAGACCCAAAATGTTAACTGATTTTTGTCTTCAGATGCTGCCAGACCTACTGAGCTTCCAGCAACTTCTGTTTTTGTTCCTGATTTACAGCATCTGCAGTTCTTTTGGGTTTTAAGATGAGATAAGGTTCTTGAGTAGATGAGCTGTTGGTACATGTGGCCATAGACATTTGTGTATATATGCTAATTTATGGTGGAGAGAATATTGGGTAAGGGGTGGTAAGAAGATATTGCCTAAAAAACATACTTGGACCTTTCTGTGATAAGTTGACAGTCTATCGTAGTATCTCCTAGAATCACAAGTTTATGGCTCATCATACCCACAGCAGCTTACTTATCTGGTCCAGCTATATTATTTAGTGCCAATCTCCTGCTTTCCACCCCCATATATTTAGATCATTCAATGCCTTTTTTTTTTTTTTTTTTTTTTTTGCACCTATTTCCAGCAAGTTTCCAGAGAGGGTATGAAATGCACTAACAACTATGTGAAGAAGTTGTTTTTTTTTCCAAAATTCCCTTGACACCCTTGCTTCATTTGGACTCGCTTTGAATCTATGCCCTCTCCACACTTGTTCCTTTTCACAAATAGAAATAGTTTCATCCTATCTACTCTGTCCAGCCTGCTCATGGTTTTGAAACATCAATTAGATGGCATTTCTGCCACTTTCTCTCTGGGGAGAGCAATCCCAAGTTCTTCAACCTATCTCTATATCTGAAGTTTCTCATACCTGGAACATCTAGTAAATTGCTTCTACACTCTTTCTAATGTATTTCAATCTTTTCTTTTAATGTGGAGCCCACTATTGTAGAAACTACTCCATAGAAAATAGAAGTATGCTATTTGGTCCTTCATGCCTGCTCCTATATTTTTCCCCCATTTCCTTTTTGATGCTTTTAGCCCCAGTGCTACATCCAATTCCTTCAAAACATTGTATGGTTTTGCTTCACTGCTTTCTGTGGTAGTGAATTTCACAAGTTCATGACTGTCTAGGTAAAGATATTGCTCCTGATCTCGGTTCCTAAATGGTTTACCCATATCCTTTTAGCATGTGACCCTTGTTTCTATACATTTCCTGCCATCAGGGAATCCATCCTGCACTTTTGTTTCTGAGATCCCCTCATTCTCCTGAATTTGAATAATATAATCTTCACTGATTCATCTCTCTTGTGCATGAGTCTTACCATCTCAGGAATCAGTGTGGTAAACTTTTGGTGAACTGCCTCTAAAGCTTGAATATCCTTCTTTGGATACAAAGACTACAACTACACACAATATTCCAGGTGTGGTCTCAGCAAGCCCCTGTACAATTGCAGCAAGACATCCCTGTTCCTGTACTTGAATCTTTTTACTGAAGGCCAACAAATCATTTGTTGCCTCTTACTGCCTGCCACACCCACGTGCTTACCTTCAATAACTGGTGTACAAGGACACTTGGTCTTGTTGTTCATTACCCTCCCTCAGCTTGTAGCCATTCAGATAATAATCCATCTTCCTGTTTTTGCCACCAAAGTGGATAACTTCACACTTGTCTACATTAGACTGCATCGGCCATGCATTTTGCCCATCCAAATCACAGTGAAGCATCTCTCCATCCTCCTCACAGCCCACCCAGCTTTGTCATCTGCAAATTTGGAATTATTACACTTTATACCCCCATCCAAATCATTCTTCACCATGTATATTGTGAAGAGCATTGCCCCACTGATCATTGGCTTAAGTAGAGGAAAATTATTTAATCCTTATCCTGTCTGCCAACCAGTTTTCTATCCATCTCAATACACTACCTCCAATACCATGCACTCCTCTAGCACATAAAAATTAATTTCTTATGTTGGACTCTTGGAAGTCCAAATAAACCACATCCATTGGCTTCTCCTCATCGACTCTTAGTTACATGCAAAAGAATTCTGGTAGATTTGTTAAGCATGACTTCCCTTTTGTAAATCCCTGCTGACTCTTTCCAAACCTGCCATTGTTTTCAAAGTATTCTGCTAGTTCATCTTTTATGATGAACTGAGGTCTAAGAAGTATCTTTTGTACAAGTTCGATATCACCTCCTTGCCCTTGCAGTCTATAACCCTACTAATAAACCAGTGGCTTCAACTTTATTTACCACTCTGTCCACCTATCCTCAATGAGGTATGCACCAAGGTCCCTTTGCTCCTGCACTCCCTTTAGAATTGTATCCCCTATTTTGAATTGTCTTTCGATGTTCTTCCGACTAAACCTTGCACTTCTCTGCATTGAACCTAATCTGTCATCTATTTGCCCATTCCACAAAGTTTTTTTTTTCAATGTCTTTTTCTATTTCCTCCTTTCCTCCTCAGTTCACAACTCTTTAAAGTTTCGTGTCATCTGCAAATTTGCAAATTGTTCCCTGCACACACAGATCCAGGTCACTAATGTATCCTAATTCTGACCCCTAGGGATCCCCACTACAAATCTTCGTCCAGTCTGAAAAATATTCATTGACCGCTACACTTTGGCAGCGTGGATACAAAATTAGCTGAATGTTAGGAAACTCTGTCCCTTTTATACCATTGCCTCAGACTTGATGAACATTGTAGGCTTTGTATCTCATACCTTCTGGAAATCCACATATACCATGTCACTACCATTACCCTGATCAACTGATAAAGTCACTGGCTCATGATAGTGCAGTCTTTCATTACAGAGGCAACATGTGGTGACCTTAAGTTCAGGATCAACCCATGTCAGGCAAGGAGTGAGACTGAAGACAAGTGACCTCAGCCAGTTATGGGAATTGAAAAATGTGCCATTGGTGTCACTCTGTATTGCTAACCAGTCATCCAGCTAATTGAGCTGCCGGTAGTTAGCAACCCAAAACCTGATACTACAAAGTTGGGAGGGCTAACACTGGTGTGGATCAAGGATTTGTTAACAAACAGAAAGCATTGGGCATAACAATTGAGTTTGCAGGATGCAACTACGTGGTTACCACAAGGATCAATTTTTAACAGTTGAGCTACTTGCAATTTAAATTAATGGCTGTGATGAAGGAACTGAGCACCATATTTCCAAAACAAACAAAAAAAAATGGAGATTTAGTAGGTCTAGCAACAACTGTGGAGAGAAAACAGAATTAAAGTTGAGTTCTGAGAATCAAGTCAAGAAGGGTCATAGAACTCAATGTTAACTCTATTTTCTCTCCACAGATGCTGCCAGACCTGCTAGTTTTTCCTCCAGCTATTTCTGTTTTTGTTTTTTTTTAAAATCTCTAGCAACTGCAGCTCTTTGGTTTATTTTAGTGCAATAAATCTGAGGTTAGTTGACTGTGGGAAAGCAAGCTGGAAGGAATAGGAGGACAGAATGCTTTGCTTTGTTTTTAAAACTTATACCTGACAATTTAAATATGAATTTAGTCGCTTCCCATTAAAAAGAGAGAAGAAACCAGCTCAAGTAGTAAAACTAGGCTGTGACTCATTAGAGTTGTCTTGTTCTGGGACCTTAGAATATTAGTTTGTCCCCTACCATAGCCACTCAAGCTCTGTCCATCTCTCTACTCGTCCTGACTTTCGTGGCACAGTGGTGTTGACCCTGCCTCTGAACTAGGATGTTGGGGCTCAAATCCCACCTACTCCAGAGGTGTGTGTTAACATCTCTGAACAGGTTGCTTTTAAAAGTATCTACTCTTGATGCTCTTCCCCCCCCCACCAAACATCCCTTAACACTTTGCTCCAAATCCGCTCCCCCAACATCTTATCCAACACCCCTCCTCCAGACCCTCCCCTGCTCTGACGTCTAAGCCTCTGATTGGAGGGCTGCTCGGGTTATAAGCGAGCGGCCGGGCTGGCCAGCTCACTCCGGAGTTCGGGAGCTTCTCCATCCGAGAAGGCTGGAAAGGCACAACCACCCGGTGAGTCCTGAGGCAGGGCCCCACCGCTCAGCATACCGGTATCCGCAGGGATGGAAGTCGGGTGTTTGGCTGGGGGACATTGCAGCAGCTCAGCAGTCAGGTCGTTATTGATGATGATTTTGGGGGTGGGAGGGGATGTGGAAACGATGCGGCGATGAAAGAAATTCCTTCCCTTCCCTCCACACGCCCCCCCCCCCCCCCCCCCATTAAGTCTCCTCTTCAGCACCCACTCATTCCCACACTTACTCGCAACCCCCGGCTCGGCTTCACCAACCCCGGGGTGGGTTAATGGAGCTTCGAGGCCCTTTCCCTCTTTCTTCCCCCTCCCCCTGGCCTTGCAGAGCAGTGTGAGCGCTTTGCGGCATCCTCGGCCGGATGGTGGTGAGGTGTAACTGGGTTTGTACCTTTATCCCTGGGTGGGGAAGGCCCGTGTGGAGCCCCGGGCTGTCCTGGCTCCGAGACCCCGGAGTTGTGCTGTTGGGGCTGGCCCCAGGAGCGCGAGCGGCCGGCCCCTCGCTTTGCGCGAGCGCCGCAGGGACGAGCGGCGACGTGTCAAACCGCGCACGCGCACAAACTCCTGCTCAAAAGTTTTCACCCAAAGTTTTTCCCCCCTCCTCCTCCTCCTTCAGCAAACCACTCCAACCCCTTACCCAAAGTTCAGTTTTCTTGCCCCTCCAAACGGATGCATGACCATCCAAAGTGCAGGAGTGCGCTGTCCAATTCCCATTGCCTTCGGGCTGGCGATCCTGTAGTAATTATGAACCAAAGTAGTGTAGGAACTGCTTGGCTTTCCTTGCTGGACAGACAAAGGTGATTATGTAATGGAGTATGCTACGTGGAATAACCCAGAACAGGTCTGGGATATCAGCTGGGCAAACTTGAATCTGCGTTTAAGCCCTTTTTGCTCCAGTATGTGACTCCTACTGTAAATTCTCCTCATAATGTATATTTTTTTTCAGAATTTTTGGGTTTTTTTCACCTTTCTAATCTTTTGCCCTCTGTCAGCTTCTGTGGTGACGTTGTCACTTTCTGAAGCTGTGAAAAGGCAACCTTTTTTTTCTTGTTTTTTACATCTCCACTTCTATCTGCTTTTTCCCTCCAGTTCCTTTTTTTTAAACATACAATTTATCTGCCATCAATTATTGCAGCTCATAATGTCTATGTGAAGATGTTAATTAAATAAGCCACGAGTTGCTGAGTTGGCACTGTTTGTCAGTCTACCTATTGCTCTTTTATATTGAATAAGGTGTTTTGTTCAGTGTATATTCATTTTAAGTTCAGTTTTAACAGACCAGTAATTTTTTTTTTGGTGGTGGGATTAAGGTGGGTATTTGAGTTTCTAACTTAAAATCTAATTATTTATAAGATCAGGATCACCTTGCCACGAATAGTGTACACGTGGGACCCAGAATGCATTTTAGCCAAGATTTTCATTTTGATATTCATATGAATCAGCTGATGAACCTTACCTTTTTAGAAAGGACAAGTGTACTAAAAAAAATGATCAGCCCAGTTTTTTTATTTCAAGTTATCCAAGTGTCTAATTAGGGGTGTTCTAACTCATTCCCTGCCTAACACCATTAAAACCATAGCCCCACCAGTGTTGAGTTTGAGTACAAGCGCTGTAGTTAACCATTATCTGACAGTTTTTTTTTTAAAAGTTAATTTAGACATTGAACATAATGTGAATGAAACTTGAATTTGTTGATTTACTTAATTTATGGTAGTATGCTGATTGAGTTAACTTTGCTTTTGGCTGTTTTTGACACTGGTTATTAGATCTGCCAGAATGAGTGACTAAGGGAAGACAATTGTGTATGTCATGGCTTACATGTTCACTTTTGCTCGGTTAAATCCTTTTGCAGCTGATCGACCAGATGTAATAGTTGATGTGCACTTTGATTTTTTTTTTCTGCCGAATCCCCAACTAACACAAGTGGATATTGTTTTCTAAAGTGGAATCTTGCAACATGTTGGAGCAGTATTTCGTTTATATAACGTGTGTCTGATATGTTCAGAAAAGCAAATATGCCATTTTGTTGCATCAGCCTGGCATTTTTTTAAAAAACAGTATACAACTGATATCTCCTGGCCAACCTGTAACTGAACTGCAGGCTCCATCTCTTAAAGCCATCTTTTGTGAGTTATGTGTCTTTTTTTTTTGTTTGTAACTTATTCACATTACAAATGCAGTATGATGACAGAAGTTGATTCCAAAACTTGTGATTCACTAGACCCCTGCATCCCTCTCTCTCTTTCCTCTCTATATTCTGTAAACACAGAATTAACAGGACCTGAAAAAGTCTCTTCCATGCCGCCGCCACCACCACCGCGCCCCCCCCCCAGTTTATTTAATCTAACTCTCCACTATTCTATTCATTTTTATTGTACTTAACCTAGCTTCCCCTTAAATTCATCAATGACTGTGTATCTCGGACAGTTGTGGTCACGCTTCATTTTCTGCTCTAGATATTGAATCATGCCTTTCAATCACCTTTGCTGACTGTGCTATGTAGCATCTTGGCTTATTTCCTTGTGGAAATGCCTATTTGTGCTTTGTGTCTACAACAAATGAATGGGGCTTCACCTTCAATAATTAAATTGATAAGTTGCTTCATAAAATGCAATTAGTTCTCATTAACTTGAGAAACTATATCATTAGACTTCTTCCAAGTAATTCACAAAAATCGAAACTGAGCCCAAAAGACTTAAGGTAAATGAGGTTAGACAGAATTGAGGTTTTGAGGAATGTCTTCAAAGAGTGAGGTGGAGAGCCTTGAGGCACAATTTACAGATTACTAATGGCTGGAGGCACAACTACTTATGGTTGAGTACAGGATGTGGAGAACATGTCCAACTGTATTTGGAGCAATGCAGGTGGAGATGAAGAAAGTTTGAAATGGGACCTGGGGAGCTCTTTGAAGATTTGGAATTTCAACATTGTTGAACCATTGTAGGCAGCAAGTGCCAGGATGATGAGTGAATGGTGTGCATTAAACACCACAAACTTTGGGTAATTTTATTTTTAAGACAGTGAGAAATAGAAGGTGCGCAGGGAAAGAGTTGGCGGTTCAGCCTAGAGCTAGCAAGAACGTGGATAAGAGTTTGAGTAGTGGATGGGCTAATGCAAGGATGGAGGTGGATGATGTTAGAGGTGACAGTGAGGGGTTGGAAGCTCAACTTTGTAAAATAAGACGCTGAAGGTTGACTAGGAGCAGAATGCAATTCATGGTGAAGCACTTGAGTTGGTTTAGCTTATATCCTGATACCACTCTCCTGTAGTCTGTTCCCTCCATCTGTATGTTTTGTTTTCAGTGTGATTACTAGCAACTGCATTTGAATTGCAAGTTTATCAGAAGCTTAAATGTTATAATATCTGCACTGCATTGACACAATTCTTAAATGTCTATAGCTGTTGGAAACTTATTGCTATGTTTGAATTTGTACAAATTCGGGGATGCCAATCCATAGCTCTGACCATTTTTTTTTTAACGTTTCAGAGCAATGCGGACATCTCTTAATGGTATCAGTCCTTATTGAATCCTTGCATGGCCAAATGCTGCAGCTTTTGTGATTTACTGATGTTACATTTTTGCCTTTCTGCTGTTCTACAAACTTTAACATGGCTGCAAGTCTGTGGTGGGAGTATCAGATTGAGCATCTCTAATTATTGGATAGTTATTTGTGAAAATGAGTTGCAGCTCATAGCACGTCTTTTATGACATTTAAGTCTATCTGCAGTCAGCCTGTTTTTGTTTGCTTTTTTTGTTCCCCTGCCCCCACCCGCTTTGGGATTGGAAAAAGGAACGATTAGCCAGGGATCTAGCTACTGACTGCTGTCCAATGAGGTAATTGGATGTTGTTTGGGTTTAATATTTCTTTTTTGCCTCCAGATGATCTTCTAGTGATCTTTGTTTTCCACTTCCAAAACGTTTGTCTTTGGGGGTAGTCAGCCAGAGCACTGGTGACTGAATCTAGAAATGAAGAACTTCCTTTTTCATCAATGCTATCGGTAATCTCAGGATATCTAAAACACTTCATTGGTTGAGAAATACTCTGGGGTAGTGGGTGGTGGATGGGAAGCAGCAGACTATTTGAGCATGGCAAAGAGATAATGACCAAATGTTTGTGATGTTGGTTAATGGATTTGTTCTACAGGCACAAGGGAGTACCCCCTACTCCTCTTCACAATTGTGCTGTGAGCTTGTTTACATCTGCTGGGATCAGGTGGTACCTTGATTTAACAACACATTGGAAAACAAAAGGCACTGCTCACAGTGCAGCAATCCCTCAAATACAGTTTTTTTTTGAGTCAAACTAAGGATCCCATTCCTATGAGTACTCTGGCAGTTATCCTAGTGATATTCTTTTTTCAAATCTTTGAAGTGAAGTGCCCTTTTTTCTGAGTTTAGATTTGACTAAAGGTTAATACTTGTGGTTTTTGACTTGCACTTAATCTGTTGAAATCTTTAAGTTAAAAATATGAAACTTGCGAGACTTCCCAACTACGTTTAAAGAAAACAGCCACAAGGTTTTGAAAATTTGCACCTCTGTTAGAGAGGAGGAGGTTTTCTGTGTTGAGCTGAACAGTGTTCCTGAGTTTGAACAAAACAGTTACACCCTTGATCTGCTCCCTTTTTTAAAGGTGTGCGATTTGTACCCACAGACAAGTGTTTGGAAATTTTTTTAACCATCATTGACTAGGTTAAAAAGTATGTTGTTGTAGTATACAACCTACACTCTTTCAGGTTCAGTTTTGGCTTATGCAGAGTCTGACTCAGAGTTTGATTAAATTAGCATTGTTACACTGATCAGTTGTTTGAAATGCTTTTTAACATTTTAGGTTTGGGAGATTTGTGATTAGTTTACTGAACAGACATATATATTCTAACTTCACTGAAGTATTTTCTCGTAGTCCTGTTAGTCACACTGTCGGTGAAGTTGCATAATCAATTGTTAATCACCAAGTGGGGATAAAGGTCACAAGAGAAAGGACTGTGCTCCTGCAATAACTGTTCATCAGAAGGTGTTGACATGCTGAGAATGACTACACAAGTTAGACCTTCTTTCATTAGAGTTAAAGATGAGCAGTGACTTTTC